TCATGTTTTAACCATTCTTTGTAGCAATGATAGATTATTTTCTACCAAAACACTTCTCAGTACAGTTTACTAATTCTTGGTTCTATTAAACATTACTTTATAGTTCTTGGGTAAATTATTCTGATAAGCATTTATTTTAAACATATTTTATCAATACTTGTCCTAATCAAAATGTCAGTTTACCTGAACAACTTATAACAAGAATCTGGTTCATTACTTAAGGTTTTAGTAACCAACTAATATTATATTGTAACCTTTTATTGTATTTAATTTATTTCCTCTTAGAATAGAGCATTGAAGTTGTAAGTTTGACCTTCTCTCATTTGTTTTTTGAGACAATCCATCACTCTGTAACCCTGGCTGACCTAGAATTCACTATGTAGAACAACCTGGCCTCCACTCATAGAGTGCAGCCCGCCTCTGCCTTCTGAATGGTGGATTAAAGGCTATGAAACTGCATTTGGCTGTATGTGTGCTCATACTTGAAAATGTGTGCTTTAAAATAATGCCTATATAGTTACATGAATTAACTAGAGTGTTTTCAATACACACTACTTCAAAAAAATAGGAAACCGTAATGATAATATGAATTTTATGTCTTTATTTCAGTCTATTATCTAATCATTTTCATATGATTAAAATGATCTTAAAATGGAATTTTATACTATTTTGGCATAGAATTGCTATACAAATTTTCGTGGCTTTGATATATTGAGTTCATGTACACATTATATTGAGTAGTAAATGTATTATTTTAGAACACATAGTTAACATATAATAAGACATGTATGTAGGTATGTAAAATATATATCATTTCTTCAGAACACTTAGGATAAGGTAGGGACAGTTTTGTATTCCCTTCTAAACATGTAGTCTAAGTATCCAAACTAGAAGCTCACTTGGTCAAGGAAAGAAAAATATTTTCTGTGTAATTTGTGATATCAGTAAAATGAAAATTTTTGACCAGCTTTCAATTTTTTCATTATTCAACTACAAAAGCCTTGATCTGACTCAAAGAACTTCTAAGGCAATGATGGCTTTTGCCAGAATGAAGTTACCTGTTATAGAATTTTAACGATTCTTAGACCATTTCTTTTCATGAAAAAGGGAGTTAGAAATAACAGAGAATTCAGAAGAGTCAAGGAATTTAGATGGCAGACCACTGATCTCAAAATGTTATTTCTTTCACTGCAGATTAAACATTTGTCAGCTGCCTCGAACCTATAGCCATTGGTATAGTAATGAAAAGCAATGTGTCTGAATTCATTCTGTTTGGGTTGACACAGGATCCCAGAAAACAGAAGGCAATATTTGGAATCTTTTTGATATTTTACATTATGACTTTGTTGGGGAACTTTCTCATTGTGGTGACCATCAAGACAAGCAGGACCCTTGAGAGTCCCATGTACTTTTTCCTCTTCTACCTGTCCTTTGCTGATGCATGCTTCTCTACAACCACAGCACCCAGGTTGATTGTAGATTCCCTCTCCCAGAAGAAGATCATTTCCTACAATGAGTGCATGACACAAGTCTTTGCAGCCCACTTCTTTGGATGCATGGAGATCTTTGTACTCATCTTAATGGCCTTTGATCGCTATGTGGCCATCTGTAAACCTCTGAGATACACCACCATCATGGCTCAGCGTGTGTGTGCTGTGTTAGTGATTGTGGCCTGGGTAGGGTCTTGTATCCATTCTTCAGCACAGATTTTCCTGGCTTTAAGATTGCCCTTTTGTGGCCCAAATGTGATTGACCACTATTTCTGTGATTTGCAGCCATTGTTGAAACTTGCCTGCATGGACACCTATGTGATAAATTTGCTAGTTGTGTCTAACAGTGGCGCCATATGCATGGTGAGTTTCATACTTTTGCTCATCTCCTACATTGTCATCTTATACTCTCTGAGAAACCACAGTGCAGAAGGAAGGCGGAAGGCCCTTTCCACGTGCACCTCCCACTTCATTGTGGTTGTCATATTTTTTGGTCCCTGTATATTTATATACACACGTCCACCAACCACATTTCCAATAGACAAGATGGTGGCTGTGTTTTACACAATTGGTACCCCTTTACTTAATCCTCTGATCTATACTCTGAGGAATGCAGAAGTGAAAAATGCTATGATAAGGTTATGGTGTCGTAAAGTGTGACTTCAGTTGATAAATCCTATATGAGGTTTCTTTTTTACAAATGTTTTTGTTGAATTTTTGCATATTTCATACTAAACATGTCAATAAATCTTAGTCATCTTTATGCCCCTTTCCTCACCAGCACAATCTCATGGATCCCCCCCATTGGAGTTCATATATTCTGTTATTTCTGTTAAGGCCCATTGTGTCTTGTCATTATCCCCGAATGTCCCTCACTACAAATTCATCTACTGAGGTCTAGTCCACATATTTAGAGTCTCTTGCTTTAGGAAGACCAGCTTTTCCTTACCCAGTAGTAATCACTTGCCAATATTTTTTCAGCTAGGTTTGGGGTCAGTTTAGAATATATGGTACCTTGACTATAGCTTTGTTGCATGGACTGGAAAAATAAAGTATTCCTTGCAGGGGATTATTAAAACATCTGTTTTTGTGGACATAAATCATTATCTCATTCAGTCCTCTAATTTCTATATAATATATAGTACATAGATATGTGAATTTAATCCAAGCCAATGATATTCTGAGTCAGGATAAATCTTGTGAACACTTTAGTATCTATTTCATAATTTTAAAACAATCATAGGAGACCTTTTCTGATTTCACAGCAGTTGGACAATGAAACAGAGCCTGAGACAAATGCTGTAGAGTAGATGTTCATGTCCAAAGACAGATATTTGTCAGTTTCCCAAATTGTATTCACAAATGGAATATATATTTGCAATATATGCAGATGAATATTAATCATTTTTCTTATGTGTTTAATGTCTGTTTTAAACATGTTGGATTCAAGATCCTTAAAGATGAAATGTAAATGTGATTGTTTCTTATGTAAGCAGGACATAATAAAAATGAAAAATTATGTTTTATTTCTTGCTATTCCTTCAAATTTAAAAAGTATGAGAAGCTTGTTTATCAGTGTCTGAATAAAATTCAGAAATATTCATGGATATTCTTCTCATTGTTAAGTAAGACAGAGCTCCAAATTCCCCAAGTATAAGTAAAGGCTCTCTCAGAAATTTCGGGGGATGTCACGATATTGCCTCCATGACTTTTCTGCTGTTATAAATCTATCATAATCCTTTAACTATTTGAGAAAATAAGCCATTTCTTCCTTAAGATGATTTTGCCAGAGTATTTGATTACAAGAACAAAAAAAGGTAACTAATATACTAATTGACTATCTGCCCTCCATCCCCACCACCCGAGAGCACAGTATATTCTTGGTAGACTACAATTAGTTAACTCTTTCAAAATGACTATTAGAAATGTATTTGGATGCTATCAACAAAAAAAAATCATAAATATTTGAGGTCGTGGATTGGTATGCCAGCTACTCTGTGCTGACCTTTAAAGATAGCACATTGGACTTCAAATACCACACTTTACTGTAATATTTATAATCACTACATAATAATTAAAAACTAGAAATTTGTAATTAAAAAATATACATCCAACATATGATAGTTTCAGTGTTAACAGTTAATCTAATCTCCACCTTCCGCTAATACCTATGATTTGAAAATTGGGAATACAGGACAGTCTGAGGGAACAAGGGAGGGACAAACATTCAAGAGACAGAAAAGTCTTCCAGGTACTGGTGTGTTAAGAAACTGACTTCTTGTCCCTCCATGTGGCAGATATTGATAGATCTATATTTTTCTTCTTCTTGGAGACATTTTTCAGGCTTGTTAATGTTGTAGCTCCTCCCTGGCACTGTTTGTACTGTCTTTTGTTCACGAGGAAATATGTCTTATGATCAGTGAAGTCTTCTTTCTTTTCACTTCAAAATATTCCACCATTCATTGGAGCTACCTCCTGCTTATCCTCTGTGTGAATCCCTTTCTGCATTACACAGCAAACATGTCTTTCCCTGGAAGGGAAGAAATTGTCAATAAGAAGTACCATCATTTAGGATGGTGTCAAGTAGCAACACACACTCAAATGCTCTGTGAAATAAACAAATGACACTTCCTGCTCAGATGTTTCTGCCCAGTCCTTTGGCTCCACCAATAAGTCAGAATCCTTGCCAGGCTCTCAGAACCAAACAATGATAGCACTTTCTGTTTCACACACACACACATACACACACACACACACACACACACACACTCATGTACATATACAAGTATACACAAATACACTCAGGCAAACACACACACTCATGCACATACATACACATTCACACAGACACACAGACATACACATATTCACAAATACACATACACACACTCATGTACACATACAAATATACACGCATACACTTTTGCAAACAAATACACTCATGTACATACACAAAGACATAAACACACAGACAAATGTACACAGACACACACACATACACTTATAGACACACACCCTCACACCCACACATACATGCACACACTAACATACACACAGGCACATCAATACAAACATGAATATACACATGCACATTCATGCATGCACAAACACAAAATCACACAAAAGACACATATAATTTGAAGTGGGACTCAATCAAATTTAGTCTTAAAAGTTACTATGCAACTTTTCATGATGATCAATGATTTGTCTTCTTTCCTGGTTTGGGATTTTTGTTCATATATCATATATTTTCAAGATCATGGAAATAGGCAGAGTAAGTTGGAGATACTTTGTGATTTCACATTGTGTGTAAACTTTCAAATTCAGCATATTATGACATAAGAAATGTTACTCTATAAACATGTTGATTTTATCAACTATGGGTTTGTGATCATTTATTTTCATTGATAACAGTGTCACACATTAAACTTATGAGCACTTATTTGCACATACCTTAAAGATACAGTACATAGTCAAAAGTTTGCATGTTCTGTGAAAACAGAACAGTTCAAAAGAGCTTGAACTGAGACTGAAAACAACAGTAAGAAGAGGGAAGAACCTCTCTGAAAATCAAGTTTGATGGGATTAGGTAAGAAGTCAAATAAGTGACCTCATAAAAGATCCAAAACAGCTCATATAAGATCCTTTGCCATCTATATGATGAAAAGAGGGATTTCTCAGATTCCCCTCCTCTGATTCAGATCTGTGGTTTCATGCCTGAAACAAACAAACAAACAAACAAACAAACAAAAAAACAGATTTTCAGGTTTTCAGAAGGAACCACCATCTGTAAGCTGTCAACAGACACTGGGGATGGACAAAGTTGCTCTGAGGGGGTTCCTATCACCAGTCACTGGAGTACTTTACTGAACAAAGAGCTCATATATCCCAGGGGGTAGAAATCATCATAGAGTTTAGGAAATCTGGGGGCCTCTCATTCACTGGCTACCATATGTCAGAAAGGGGTAAATTGCCTTGGAATCTTGAATGCTATCTGGATAAGGAGAACAGGGTGAAGAGAAATTAAATAAATAAGTAATAAATAAATAAATAAATAAATATAAATAAACAATGCTGTGGATCTGACATATAGCCTGGATCTCCAGACTGTCAAACTGTATTAAAATCTCAACTCCATTAGGAAAGAAGGGGGCATTAATTAATTAATTTTGATTTCTTTGAGACTGAGTTTTCCTCAGCTGGCATGGCACTCTCTATTTAAACCAGTGTGGCCTCAATCTCAAAGAGATCTGCCTACCTCTGTCTCCCGAGCTGGGACTAAAGGCATGCACCACCATACCCAGCTTCAGTTTTTCTTTTTTTTGAAATATTTTCATTATTATTTCTATTTTGTGTGTATAAGTGTTTTGCGTTCATGTATATAAGTGCCCTAGTGTAATGCAATACCTTCCGAGGCCAGAATAGGGTTTTAGATTTCTTGGAGTTACTATTTAGGGACAATTGTTTGCTGCCATGTGGGTGCTGGGAAACAAAACCTGGGTCCTCTTAAAGAGGAGCCAGTGCTCTTAACCTCTGACCCATCTCTCCAGCCCCAAGGTATTTTTTTGTTTTGTTTTGTTTTCTTTTGTTTGTTTTTTAAGACAGGGTCTCCCTGTAGCCCCAGCTGGCCTGGAACTTGCTATGTAGACCAGGCTGGCCTTGATTTCACAGTGGTCCACCTGCCTCTGCCTCCAGAGTCCTGGAATTAAGAGCATGTGCCACGAGACCTGGCTGAAAGAAATGTTTGTGTCAGGAGATCCAGAACACATATGGAGATAGGTTTTATACTGTCCAATACCCTTCCCTAAAGTAATCATTACTGTGAAGAAAATTGAAGTCTGATTTTCTTGTTTTTAATATCTTATTCATTTACTTTTATTTTATATACATGAGTGCATTGCCTGTATGTGTGTAAGTGCACCCATGCCGTGCAATGCCTGCTGAGGACAGAAGACAGCTTCGATCTCCCAGAACTGGAATAATGGACTGGTACCCAACCACCTAACTGGAAGTACATGAGGCCCCTCTAAGGTTCTTTGGCAGAGGTTTGGTAGGATAAAGCTGAGATCTCAGCTGACTGTCAGAGTGCCTGTTCCGGATTCCCTCGGGCATAGGAGCTGAGAACTGGGAGGATTACCAGAGAGTTCCAAAATCAGTGCCTCCAAGGGAACTCCCCAGATCTTGCCATGAGTTCACACTAGTGGGGGTCCAAACGTCAGAAAGAAGCCTGAGTGTACCTGACTGGAACCTGACTTGGGCTTCTGTTGGAGCTTCTGAGAAGCCAATCTGAAGCCATCAGTTCCCTCCAAAATAAAACCCCAGATAATCTAAAACCTCATCCAACCAGGTTTACATAACCAATGAGAAAAAGACAAAGGCACACCAGTAATACAAACAGAAGTAAACTTCAACTTAATTTTCATATCGGAATCACAAACAACAAAAGAAATTCATACTTCAAAATCACAATGAAGGAATAATAAAATTGAAAGCCAAATCACTATATTCCCACCAAACTCCACCAGTCCTGTAGAAGAGTTCTACAAGGAGAACCCCCTAGAGATAAACAAGGATACAGAATTTAAAAGAACAATCAAAAATATGATCAAGGAATTTAATGAATTTAAAGAAAACATGAACAAACAAATCAAATAACTAAA